CGGCCGAGTGTGCGGCGAAAACGTGCGCGCGCCGAGCGGTCCTCGGCGGTTTCGCCGCCATCTCGAGTAGGTCCACACGAGTGCCCTCGAGTGCGACATGTAACGCGCGCCCCCTGGGGGGTGGCGGGGAGGGGAGGGTATATAAAGGGGGCGAAGGTGGATCGCGAGCGCAGTCCGCGCCCGGCCCTCCGCGTGGGCGGACGAGGGCGTCTATCGGTCTCGCTCTCTCTCGGCCGCCATCTTGCGCCGTAGAAGCATGGGGAGAGAGAGAGAGAGGGCGCGACAGCTCGATTTTTCCGATAGCGAATTCTGCTTCTCGTTTTTCACTCCCCTCTTCCCGCCTGCAAATTCGCCCCCTCCCCTCCCTCTCTCTCTCCCAATTTCCGATCTGCACATTCGACTTCCCTCCCCTCGCTTTTCCACTCGCTCGTTCCGTCCTCCCCCGCCCTCTCGCTCGCTCGCCGACCTCCTCAACCTCCCGCAGGCCACCAAAACCAACGGCGCTGCAGACGGAATAAAAAGCCCGACGGAGGAAAAAAAACAACACGCACACGTACACACGCCCCGGTCTTATACACACATCGGGAGATATTCATGAAGTATCTGACGAGATTCCCTCGCTCGGCTATGCCATTTTCAGGATCGCGGCCCCCGGGCCCGCGGAATCGATAAATCGGCTCTATCTCCTGCACTCCCGGTATAATCAAGGAGCGAGAGAGAAAGGAAGAGGAACAAAGAGAAAGAGAGCCGGGGAAGCGAAGCGCCAGTCCAATTTAATCTTTTTTCGGTTTCGAGGGAGGACTAGAGCAAAAGGAACGCGCGAATTAATTTGGGCATCTCGATTTTCGGGGCACCCGACGGGGAGGCTTCGCTCGAGATAACGCGAGATCCACGGAAATTGCGACGGCGATCGCTCGCCCCCTCCCACTCGGTGTAATTACCAAGGGCGGATGTAATTACAAGGTGTATTCATATCGCCAATTAAAAAGGAAAGGTGTCCGATTTTTCCCTTTTCACTGGCGGTTTATCGGGTTATCCCGCGATCGCGAGATCCGCGGTGGGGATTAGGGGGTTGGAAGAGGGGGAAAGAAAAAAAAGGCACGAAGGAAAACCGCTCGGCGGATAATCAAGAGGGTGCCGCCGATAAAATCCTGGGAGAGGGAAACAAAAAAAGGGAGAGAGATCACGGGGTGGAGGGCACTCCCAGGCGGGATCGCCATTATGGACTCACGGCGTGCGGTCTTTTCCCGGCCTCGTTAAGCGGGTAAATGAATAATGAGGGCCAGAGGGGGAGGGCCGAGTCGCAAAAACAACGAAATCGAACCGCTTTCGCCGGATATTTTTCATGCGTGAATTTTCCCCGGGCCGAGGGGAACCGCCCCCCGGGGCCGGGAGATTATGGCGCGCGAGCGGGTAAAACCCGGAAAGCGTGGAAAAATGCCGATCAGCCCACTCCCCCCGGCCCGTTCCCTTTCTTCCCCAGGATTTGCCGCGATCCGGCCGGATCCCGTCCATCTGCCGTTTTGTTTCCGCTAATTACTTCCACCGATTCGAACCCGGTGTGTTCCGCGTGTTTGCGCGCCTGCCCCCGCGCCCCGCAAGCGATTCCGCGGTTCCGCAGGCGGCTTTCCCGCCGCGTTTCGACGGTCCGTCGGTTCCGCAGGGCCCTTCGGGACCCCCCGACTGGAGAGATGAAAAATGGGGCGCCTCAAATATTCGGCTCGATTAGATTGAATCCACATTCCGCGCGCTCCTCGGGGACGATCGAGAAGTCGCGCTACCTTAAGTAAGCCGTAAAACGCGGAATGCTCGTAGATATTTCGGGGGCTAAAGTGGAAGAAAAAAAAAAGAAAAGAAAAAAAAAGAAGAGGAGTCACGGCGTTTATCTCCGACGAATATCCCCGGGCCTATGAGGCCCGATATGGCGGAACGACGGGAGGCGAGGGCTCTAACGAGCGATAAATTAGGGGAATAAACACTGGCAATGATCGCAGGACCAGAGGAGCTACTTTATGTCCCCCTCCCACGGTTCCTGTTATTGATGTATCAGGGGTGCGTAAATCTCCCCCGACTTATATCCCGGGGACTCGTATCCCCCGAGGTGCCCTCCACCTGCCAGAAATGCGTCCGTCAGGGAGCAACCGGCCGAGGTATAAATAATTACCCCCCTTCCTCTCCGGCGTAAAACCGCTCTTTTTACGAGTTTATTCAATTTCTTTACGAGTTACACCCTCCTCGCCCCTCCGGCGTCGACCCTCGTCTCGCCTCTACCGCGTCGTCGCCGGCCGCTCCTCGCTTTTTGTCCACTCGGCGGTATCCCCCTCTCTCTCGCTCCCGCGCACCGGCGCATCTCCCCATCTGCGTCCCTCCCACGCGGCCGGCCTGCCGCGCTTCCCACTTACGTCGTATCGCGTAATTTATGAATCGGCGCGTCCCTCCCCTCCGTGAACTTCTCTCGGTCGGATCCCCTCCGACACGTAGTCCGATTTACGATTTGAGCCGGGCGCATCCGGGCGGAAAAAAATGCCGGGCGGGTGGAAGGAGGGAGGGCGAGAGAGGGGGAGCCAGAAGGGCCGATGGAGGGAGCGAGAGGGAGAGAGGCGGCAGAGGCCGGGAGAGAAAGGCTGCTAAATATTCAATAAACGCGGGCATTATTCCCAGCACGTCGGGAGGGTGGAGGAGAGAGGAGGAGGGAGGAAATAAGGCGGGAAAAAGGACGAGGAAAAGTGGAAGTAGAAGGTTACCGACGCGGCGGAAGGGCGAGGCTGCTCGGGGGAAGAGGGAGAGAGAGACAAAGAGAGCCACTCGAGTCTCCCCGCCAAGGGGAGGGGAAAAACCAAGACGGGGGCGAGAAAGGGAGGAGGGAAAGAGTCAGCTATTTATCCCCGGGAATTCCGGCCAGGGGTTGCGAAGGCCTGTATTCCATAATTTGCTCTCCGACCTCCTGGGAGCGCCCTCCCCCTTCACCCCTGACCGCCCCCGCTGGGGATCTTCAACCCCCGAAAATTATTCCGTTAAAGTCTCGCCCCCGCAAGGAGGGGTGGCCGGTGTCGGGGGGGAATCCTGCGATTTCGCCCGATTCCTACAGACCGCCTGCAGAAATTCCGGGAGGGTTCCATAAATATTTACCAGGCCGGGGCAGTCTCGCGGGGGGGGGCAGGGAAGAAAAACACCCGGACGGGGGTGGAAAAATATGACCGCGCCGAGTGGAGTACCGAAGGGTCGATATTTTTCCGGAAACCGCGGCTCGTCAGGACTCGCCGTTCCCCCGGGAGCGGAACGTGAGGGCAATTTTATTAATCCACCCCTAGGGCTCGAGGGGGGGTCTCTTATTTGCAGGGATTTAATGGCACCGCATGCCGGATGTTTAAATCGGGGGAAAATAATCCCGGGGGGGTAGGTGTCTCCCCGGGACGTGCCGTCGTCGCGAGGACTCGCGATTTTTCCACCACCCCCCTCGAGGAGACAGGGACGTTAATCGAATCGATACCCACCGGAAGCGCCGAGGGAGGGTGGATAGGGGGAGGTGGAAAAATACCAGGGGTGGGGGCGAAAAAGGCTCTCGACACCGAGTGAAACTTCTGATTCGCTCGGCACCGTGTTTACTCGATAAACAAGCCTGCCAACCGCCATTAACGGCACGACCGGGTCCGTCCTTTTCGATTTCCGATCTTGGGCGTCGCAGCCCCCGATAAGGGGTTACCATTAGGGGCGGAAGGCGACGAACGGCCATGTCGGAGTGACCCCGAGGGGGGCACACGCCCCGAGTAATTGCCGGGTCCTCGTTTAACGGCATCCGAGAAACCGGCGCTCGACCGTCGGCTTCCATTTAGTCGGGAATCTCCTAACCTCAAAATCCTAACTTAACGCGTCGGATCGCTGGCGGAGGGTGGGTCGGAAGTGCCGGGGCGCGAGAGAGGCTGAAAAAGAGGGAGAGCGACCGAGCTCACCTAACCCTCCCCGACATAACCTAATCTAATCCGGCCTGCAGCCGGCGGAAAGAGGGAGCGCGAGCGCGCGAGGCAGATACGCGCTTTGGAATTAAAACCCCGCGGCGCAATTTGCATGTTATTACCTTGTTTACATATTTATTCAATAGCTACGACCCCCGAGGGGCGAAGCCACCCCTTAATCCAACCGATCGCGTGCGCGAGAGCGCGGCCGCCCCGCGGGCTCCTTTAATTTCGGATTAAGCGACTCGCGGAACCGAGCGCTCGTTATTACGCCGTTATACGTCGTCTCCCGAGCAAGGCAAAAAACACGATTTTCGTCCTCTATTTTCGCCGTTCTCGGAATATACTAGAATTTTTACAAAATCGGATATCATACCTGTGCTCTTCCACCGACGACCTGTGCAGGAGGATTGTGCAGTCCGGACGGGCAATTACTGGGAAATCGGTCGCGGACCGATGCGGATAAAAAATCGACCCCGAGTCCTGATATTTTTCTCGTTCCGTTCGGACACTGGAGCCGAGTGAAAAATGAACGCCGCCCCGTTGCAAAGGCGGGGGGGATGAAATTTTCCCGATTGGATTCGCCGCAACTACGCCCGATCGTAAATACATTACGACGTGTCGGATGACGCATGGCGGCGGCGAGTCTCGCGCGCCCGCACGAAAACCGGCCCGATCCTATTTCAACTGACAGGGAAACCGTGCGACATGGTTTCGGGGCGACGCGTCCCACGTGACTGAGGGGCGATCGCGATCGCGCGCGGGATGGCGCGGTTCGCGTAACGCGGGCCACGTGACATGGGCCACGTGACATAGACCACGTGACACCGCGCGACGCCATCTTGGTTAGGAGACTAGTACCCCACGTTCAGGGAGAAAAGCGTTTACAAGGTGTTCATATATCAAGATAAATCCTTCCTTCGCAAGTGTACGTAAAACCGTATATATCGCAGGAAATGCTGCCTTCTCGCGCCGCGTCCGACCGGATGGTATAAATCGATCTCCATCGGCGCTTAATGAAGTAGCATTCAATGTCGGCGTTCTCACCTGCTTGTGCATCTCCACGTTGAGGCCGTAGGACATCTCGTAGTACTGAAATAAGAAGAAGAGGACTCGTGAGTGAGAAAAATGCGGCCCGTTCGGACGGTCGTGTTGGTTAAGCACCGGAGACAGTGTGCGCACGTACGAGTAATTGCGAGGATCGTGCAAAGCGTGACACGTAGGCATTTAAAAACGACAAGCATGCATCCTACGTGCTCGAAGAGCGCGGCTACCATGCTGCGTTCCCCGGCGTCCAGCCGGCTCCAAGGGAACGAGCATTCCGTTGGAGCGCGGCCCGGCCGACCGGCATGCACCGGCTCGACCAATCACCGCAGGCGGGCCAGGGGAATCGCGAACACTCGTGCGACCGAGTTTCCAGGCTCGCTCGTGCTTACTTGAGTTTAGCAGTAGGCGTCGCACGGACTCTCCAATAGGACGACAATAAACCATACATACTCGAGCCCAGGTAAGATGCGCGCAGCGGAATTATAAATGAAGATATGAAAAAGGAAAACAAAAAAAAACGAGAAAAGTACAGAAGAGGATACAGAGCCCGATAATAATTCTCTACCGAGGAGACAAAACCCACCCCGTTTCCATTTTCGATTTTAATACCCGTCTAATCCCGGAACCGGGCGATAATCGTGAGTCGCTCGAACGGAGGCATGATAAAAAAGGGGAAGGGGGCAACGGAAGGACGGAAACGAGAGAGGGAGCAGGAGTTGAAATCAATTTCGCCGAGGCAATCGAAAGGGTCGGGCCCCGCGGCGAGAGGGAGGCGCTCTAGCGTTAAATAAAGATCGAAGAGGACGACTCGACATCGAGTCGACGTTCCCGACGCCTCGGCCCAAGTGTCCCCGGTATTACGATCGGATCGGATGACCGTCGGGCATCGAGTGTCCGATTTCGAGAGAGAGAGAGAAAAAGAGAGGGAGAGAGAAAGAGGACCCGCCCCCGAGGCTGTCCGGGTAGGATTAATCGATTGGAAACGATTACGAGACCCGGACCCGGGGGGGAGCGATCGGGGAAAAAGAGAGCGCGACGAGACGGGGTCGGGGTGCGAGCGAGACCGACGCCCGAGACGGCGTCGCGAGCGGGACGGAAAGATCGAAGACCGGTTTCGCGGTAACATCGTTCCTACATCGTGTGTACAAGTATGGCCTATCGAGCCGCTTAACTAATTCCCCGGTCCGTCCAGCGGCTCTCAACCGACGTGCCCGGAATACCGAAGCGACCCGGCGGGAAGAAAAACGAAAACCCCGGGAAAAACAAGGAGAATGAAGCGCTAAGAAACGAGCCCTCTCGAACTCGCCGCCGTTTTAAGGCGTCCGGCAAACGTCCCTCCCCTACATGTCCCGGGGTAATTATATCGCGGCAAAAGTCGCTCCCGCGTTAAGACTTCGCGAGTTCATTTCGACATAGTGGGACCGAACAAAAGAGGTAGGGAAAAAAAATTCGGCGAGGGAGAGGGAGAAAGAGGGGAGGGACGGGCGGGGACGGGGAAATTGCGGTCGATTCGAGGTTCTCTCGCAAAGTCGAGTCGACGGCGATTTTAACGAGCGTCCTGAATACGGCGTTATTCCATGAACGAGAGGTTCTCGGTGCGAACGGCCTTTATTGCCGCGCGATCGTAAAACGCCCCCCTCGACTCCCTCCTCCCCCAAGCCCGGGGCAGGTGCGCGCAGGTGTGCGTGCCCCAGTACACGTGCACCGAGCGCCGCGCTCTGCATTACCAGCACGCCTCTGCATTACCAACTGCGAGTAACGAGGCGCGGTTCTCGCGGCGCGTGAGCGGCGACGATTATGATAACGCTAATTAATCCGGTTCGACCGCGGAGCGCCCCTTTGGTCACGCAACCGAGGGAAATGCACGAGCTCCGCTCTCTAGCGAGCGAGAAAAAAAAAGAGAGAGAGAGAGAGAGGAGGGTTGCGATGCTAATTGCGCGTATCCGAGGTATTTCCTGGGAACCCGGCCGGAACCCCTCCGACTATGGAACTGCCCCCCTAGGTTCCCTCGGCACATCAGGAAGGAATGCTTCGCCAGGATCTTGGGATCTAGAATCGATAGGATGGATCGAAAAGGGATCGATTACAACGTATAGAGGAGGGGCAGCGGCGTCACGTCGGGGACACCGAGTGCAGGGGTTGCGCGAGGGGCCCCCTAGGTGCCCCCTTTAACTCGGACCCCGGGGAAATTAATTTCGGGACGGGCACCTTTTCATTTGGCCGGCGCCACTTAAAGGACGCGCGTGGACGCGCGTAATGCGTACCCCCACGCGCGGAGCGAGAGAAAGAGGGGAGGAAAGAATGAGAGAAAGAGAACAAGAGACAGAGAAAAAGGGGCCCATACCCGTCGAGTCCCGTGGGAACGACCGAGCATCGAGGCGGGCCCCGGTTATCGCCGAGCACCCAAAATTGCATCGCGCGATGCACCGGGCGATAAGAGTTCGATTGATATCGGCGAGGAGCCGAAATGTCTCAATAAAAATAAAAAAATAAAAAAATACAAGCACGGCCAGATCTCTCTAGAGGGGGTAGAGTACAAGAGGGAGGCGCGAGCAGAGAAGGGGGAGATCTTGACCCCGGCCCTCCCCGAGCCGCCTCGCCTCGGCCAAGTAATTGGCTTTTAATTAATGGACTCTCCCGGCCTGCCGGCGAGGCGGAATGTTAATTACCCGGCTGAAAACGTTATTCCAATATGTCTCGGGCCCTCCACGCGGCGAGCAAGAAAACGGGGGGGTCCCCCCCGAGCGCCTTTCAATTAAACCCCGACGAGTGTGGCGATCCCCGATCCCGCGTCCTTTTTCTTCGGCCTCTCTTGCGCGCGCCGACGAGGAAGGGGGGGGAGAAAAAAAGAATTAATCGCACGCGGTAGAGGATAACAAAGAGAGGCAAAAAACCGAAGCACCGCGCCCAGAGTCACCACCGAAACTGGGACGAGGGGAGGGATTTTTGCACCTCGTTCGACGCGAATTTCCCGCAATTTCCTGGCGGTGCGCGCCCAACCCCGCGAGAGGTGGGGGGGAGAGGGGATCCCGAAAAGCGGAGGGCCGCTCATCGAGGAGGCCATTACCCGTAAAATATTTGGAAACACTCGGCTCTCGCGCCCGGCCGTTTCGGAAATGCGGCCGGGGACGAAATTGAGTGGCGCGCGCGCGCGCGTGCGAGCAGATTTAACGCCGCGGGAATTTATACGCGGAGAAAGGTACTTAGCGGAAATGTGGCAACCAGAGAGGGGAGGGGACGAATTTATGCGCCGAGGAAATTCGGGGTGCGCGGGAAGTGCTCGAAAAAGCTCGGGCAACGCGTCCGGGGGCGGGAGAAAAAAGCGTGGGAAAAGGAAAAAAAAATAGAAAAGAGGAAGAGAGAGAGGATGAAAAAAGAAAAAAGGAACGCGGCAAGGTGAAAAATTCGTCGCGCGGCGACGCGAAAAATTAGACGCGCGGTGAGGGGGCACCGGGGGGAGGGTATCAAAGCGCGCGACGCGAGTCGGCCCCCCTTGAGCGCGATAACGCGGGAACTCCACCCCTCCCCCCTGCGGAAAGGGGACCTCGAAATCGGAGTTACGTTCTTTCGAGGAAAGACTCGGTGGCGAAACCGGAGCCGGGGATTCCACTTGGCGCCGCGTTACCGGGGCGACCATGTGTGGCGTGCGCGTCGCCAGAGCCAAAAGGAAAGCCCGAGGGCGGGCGGTGGGGTTCTTTTCCCCCCCAGCTTTTTATCCCCCCCACCCGTTTCCGCCCGACTCCCGGCGAGGCGACGGGGACCTCAATTACCCGGATTTCCTTTCGCGTGCATCCCGCCAAAAAGTGCAGCCCGGTCGGCGGGACTTCTTTCCCAAAGTGCATCCTGGATACGGGACTTTATGTATGTATATTTTTTTTTTTTCCGCATAGTGCAGACCGGTCGCGCGATTTTCCTTCCCAAGTGCAATCTGGAAACGAGATTTTCTTTCTTTTCAAAGTACAGGCTCTAGCCGGGATTTCTTTTTTCCAGCCATCTGATAGTACGTGGAGGACGGAGCGAGGTTCCGTCCTGGTAAAAAGAAGGGGGTGCTATCGACGCTCCGAGGGGCGCATTAAACAGATAATCGCGAGTCCCCTGGCGGGTGGCGATTTCACTCGGCGGCCGTTTCCAGGAGGAGGAATTCCCTCGACACGCCGCGAAACGAGGAACGGCCAATCCCGGGTTAGGTGCGCCCGGGCACCGGGAGGGCACGCACCGTAGGAAAGCACTTTTCGACGAGCCGGTGCGAGGCGCGCTCGTAAAACTTCACGAGCTCGACAATTACATGAAGGAGTCGTAAAAGCGTAATGCCGCGTGCTCCCTCGTAACCGGCGCGACTCGCGAGGATGCTGCCCAGGTTTTGCCGGGAACGAGCGGCGGCGCGGACGCAAGCGAGGGAGCGACCGAGCGAGAGGGTCGATGGGCCTTGCCGCGAGAGGGAGCGAGACGCGAACACGCGAGGCGCGAAGGGAGGACCTTACGGAGCGAGTCGGAGGAAACGCTCGGCGGAATAACGACGGAAAATCGGGCGAAACCGCGCGGAAAGGCCGGCCACGGCGGAAACTCGCGGATTCTCGGAACTACGCCGAGACTTCCGTGGGAATGCGAAGAGAAAGAGGGAGGTAGAGAGGGATCGACGAGGATCGGGGAAGCGACTACCGTCGCCCCGATGAGCGGGGAAGTCGTTAAACGCGCGGACGCCCGCTCGCCCGTTAAACGAGTTAAGAGCCGAGTCGGAAGGTGGCTTAAACCGTCTGCGAAGAAAACCCGAGAAACCCTAAATGCCGGCTTCGAAGGGATCCCATGGAAACGGAAGCGAGGGCGAGATCGGTTTCGCGGTATCGCGAGGCCGAATCGGCGAACGTGGGATATGAAACGAGACGAGGTGGAGTTAAAGGAAATCTCTCCTCGCGATAATAAATCAGGAATATTAATCGTCGCGAAAGGAATCGGGAACGGTCGCCATGCCCGTGCGCGGCTTTAACGCGCAGGTGCGCGGAGTCAGCTGTTCCCCTGTCGACTGGAAGAGGGATGAGAGAGGGGCCGAGAGGTACGCAAGAGGGGACCGAAGTAGAGAGAAGGAGAGGGAGAGAAGGAGCCGCGGTCGCCGCGAGGTGAGAAGTGAGAAAAAGTACGAGTAACGCGAGTAAAAAGAAACCACCATACGAGAAAGAGAGAAAGAGACAGAGATAAAGGGAGGAACCGAAGACAGTCCCGCTTGGCCTGAGACTCACCATGACGTAGTGGCGCTGCATCTCGGTCTTCTCCTGGGCGAGTTTCTCCAGCTCCAACTTAATACTGGACAGAACAAGCAGGAAATCGCACGTGTAAGCTAGACATTAGTAAGGTGCCAGGCGACATTCATAAGCCGGTTGGGAATACGAGGGGTAATTCGTCGAGTTTCACATTTGTTTCTTTTTTTTTTTTTTCATCCCCCTCGCTCGACGATCCCCGAAATTCCTGACAAAAAATCCGGGATCGCTCGTGGGTCCCGAAAAATTCGTCAGAAAAATCCAGGATCGCTCGAACGAGAGGTCTTGTCCCACGGGAAAGACCTCTCCCGTTCCCGGCCCCCCTTTCCCTGGGGAATCCACCGAGCGGGGAGAACCCTCTCCGATGGACTCGGGATTCCTCGAGCGTTTCTCGATTATATCCTACGAATGACCTGATAAGCCTGAATTTATGGTTCGATAAGGTACACGGCGACTTGTTCACCGTTCGATCGAGTATTCCACGGGATGCCGAGCCCAAATTTCGAGACTTTACGAAGAATTAAAAAATTCCATTGAAGGAAAAAAAAAAACAAAAGAACGGAAGATCATCCGTTTCCTCCGATCGTCCCACGAGATATCCGCGAGATATCCCCGTCCCACGGGAATCGGAGCAGTGCACAGGCAAGCCGTTAAAACACACAATTAGTGCAGCCGCAGCAAACATCGATAATAATTGTTACGACGGCCGGTGCGTGTCCGCGTGCGGCAACGGCGGCCGCTCGTGCGTGGTGTATGTAACGCCCACCTAACGGCGGCACCGGTAATTGCGAGCAAACGGGCCAGGGAGCGATGACGACCACGGTGACGACACCGTCACGATTTCCGCGTCACGGGCCGCTCGTTCGAGCGAGGCGCGGAATTTGGCGCGATTTGATGAGACCCTCAGTCCGTTAAGCGGAAAATCGTAGAGAATTGCTCAAAATTGCGAAAAAATTGCGAAAAAGGATTTCACCGACCCAATATCGCGAAAGGACGTCGACTCTCGATAGTAGCCTGCGAGAGGTCGAATGGCTCGCGGAATTTACGAGACAGCGAGGAAGGGAGAGTGCGCAATTATCGTCGTTAATATCGCTCCCTTTTTTTTTTCTCTGTCTCTCCCCGTAATCGCGTTTTCGCCGAACGGCTCTCGCGCTCGAACTTCCGGCGAATCGCTTTTCCCCTGCGAGGCGCGACGCGCGTCGCGGCGCTAACGAGTGCGATAAATTCGCTCTCGTAAAGGAGAGGCCTACGACGCCCGTAAAATTTACGGCGCGGCCCGCTCGGACATAAGGCGTTAAATTTAACGCCGCTCGCCTCGCCGAAAGCGGGATATTCCGCACGCAATGAGCGCACTTGTCGCGGGCCGGGGGCCTAATCACGGCCAACGCCCGGGAACCGTTAAGCCGTTGCTTCGGCGGAGATTACGCGGACTCGTTAAACTAATAACGGCCGTTACCGGGCCCCGGCTCGAACACCTGCGCGCGCACGCACTCTCCGGGCCGCGTTCCGCGATAACGCGCCGACCGTTTGCGGGTCGCGTCCGATTTTCCGCGGGAAACGCGAGTTCCGCGAATCCCCCGCGGCGCGGTCGAATTCCTCGAGCGGAGCGGCGAAGTCGAACGGGAAGAAATTGGGGGGGTCGGGTGAAGTGAACGTAAAAAATGAAGGGGAAAAAAAATAAACATGGAATAAAGGGAACAAAGTGGCGAAACAACCCGCTCGCAAGTGTCCGGTGCCGCCTTAGGCGGCCTCCTCCAGGGGCGGCTCTCTTACCATCACGTAATGCCTCTGTATCTCAATTTTTTCACTGGCCAGTTTCTCGCACTCCAATTTAAGGCTGTACGGGAACAAGAAGATCATTAAAATCCTCCGACGAGGTGGGCCCGAGGGAAGAGTCGCGCGGTCCATTTCGGAGGGGTAGAGCACCGTTTTGTCGGCGGTAAAGGGGGGGGGGAAGAGAGAAAGAAAGGAGGGCGCCGCGCCCTGAGGTCGAGGATTAAAAGGGAGGATTAAAAGAAATGTATACGTATACGCGTACGTGTATTAGAAACGCGAGAACTCTTCCCTCGGTCGGTCTCCCGGCTCCGCGGAATCGTCGCGAGTCGCGGGCTCCGGGAATCCTCCGCGTCGGTCCCTGCACACGGCACGAGTGTCGCGAAAAATGCCTCGATGAAGATTCCAGCTGGACGATTCGCACGGTGGCGCACCTGTCGGTTACTATATTTTTCTCTCCTTTTTCCTCGGCCGGTCCGCAGGCCCCTCGCAGCGGTCGGAGACGCCGCGAAGGACGCGGCTCCATTTACGGCCGGCCGGTTTTAGTCGGCGGCGGATATACCGCAAGGAGTATTCCCCTTCGCGCACCTCGGCGCGTCCGTGTGCGCGCTCGGCTCGCATGCTCGCGTGCTCGCGTGTAAACGAGGGCGCGAGCGTGTTAAGCCACGGCACATGCCCGGGGCCGGCGACACGAAACGGTAATTTAAGCCTCTATCGTCGCCGCAGGTAGCGCGTAACGTTACGACTTAACGCGCCCGACGCGCGTAATCCCCGGCCGCGGTTGTAGCCGGCGTCCTAAGCGCGTAACGCGCTCCCGTCCGCCCGCGTTGCGCGACCGGCCGGCTCTGCGTGACCCCGCGATCGTTCCATCCGCGACACGCGAGATCCTTCCGGGCGCCTCGACCAATCAGGAGGCGCGACGCTCTAGGAGCCCTGTGATTGGTGCGGGCCTGTCCTCGCGCGCCCCTATAAAAGGGTCCGCATTCGCGGTCGAGCGCGCCAGACCCGCATCCACCGGTGGCTTGCGCGGATTAATCTCGCTCCCGATTCCGAGCGCTTCCGGCCCGCGGCATTTAAGTGGCGTTTAGCGCGCGCCCGCTCTGCCGAGGGAAATCCTCTGCCGAGCGGGAGGGAATTTTCGGCACGGCTCGGGGCTCTCCAATGCCCTCTGGAATTCCGCGCGGAGGTCCATTATTCCGTTATCCGGAGGAAGTAATGGACATCCGCGGGTGCAATCCCGCGTGCGTGCTAGCGCTAATCGTGCGTGCGATTCGCCCAGGATCCCGGTAAACTCCCTCCTCTCGCCTCCCACCGAGGTGTCGGCCGTGTGCAGGGGCTTCCGCGATTCCGTCGCGTTTCCCGCGGCTCGACGTATCGAACTTCGATGCTCGACCGATAGAAATATTTCCCTCTCGAGCGACGAGGGGACTTCTCGCCGAGACCGCGCAAAGAGGTCCAATAAGGTACCGGCGCGTCGAGGGTCTTCCGGACCTCGGCCGCGGTTTTCCGGGGGAAAACTCGCGGAAGAATCCTCCCGGGAAATCTGACGAAAATTCCACGGGGGGGAATTCCTCGGATTTTCCGAGAATCGGGGTGAGACCGGCGATTTTCCGAACAATGCGGCCGCCTCCGTCCTCCCCGGTATTACGAGAATCCCCTCGTCGTTCCCCGTGGGAGGGGCGATAAATCCGACCGGCGATCGGGCCAACTCACTTGTGGTACTGCGCCTGAAGGAAGTTGAACTCCTCCTTGATGCGGTCGCAGGACTCGCCTATCGTGAACTTGAACGGCTGTCCAGGCTGCGGGGGGCCCTGGGAACAAGCAAGGAGAAAGCCTCGATTAATAAAAAAAAGAATAAAGAGAACGACGCTCTCCCCCGACCGCCCTCGCTCTCATCCCGCGTCCCGGAAACGCCCAGCGAAGGACGATAAATATTTATCGGCCGATCGGTCGCCGCATAAAGGAGCGATCCTTCGAGAAGGATCCTCTAAACGACTCGCCTTTACGTACCACCCGCGTACCGCACCGTACGCGGGGGCATTCGAATTGCGAACGATCCGCTAGGGCTCGGAAAGGGTCCGCGTGCGGTTTCCGCCCGCGGAAATCCCGCCCCTAACGCGCGGGCGCCGCGGAACTACAAGAGACAAGTCGAAATCACCGACAAAGGGGGCGAAGAAGAAAGAGAGAAGGGGAGCGACAAGATCGCCGAAAAGTAAAATGGCCGCCGCGCCGCGCGCGCGGATTTTACGCGCGGCCGTAAAAGGGAACCGCGGATTTAACGACCGCGATGTAGGTCGAGAGTCGAACGCGAGTGCCGCGCAGACATCCGGCCTGGAATCTTGCATCCCTGTATCTCTGCGGGAGGGGGTGGAGGCGTCAAAGAGGAAGGCGCATAAAAGGCGGATAACTCGCGGCGCAAGGTGCCTGTAAAAAAGAGCGTTTTTCGCGCGAGAAATTCCGCCATTCAACCGCGAGGTAGCTCGATAGTGCGCCGATAAGCCTGGGAAATGCGCCAAACTATTAATTGCGATTAACGATAAGGGTCTGATAAAAAAAAAAACAAAAGAAAAATGAGAGCCTCTCGCGGAGTGTCTTAAATCCGGGGGATCCCCCCCGAGGGAGGTTCCCGTATCTCGATTTCGGGGACAGGGGAAACTCTCGTCCCCTCGACGACGACGCCCCTCGGGATCTATTTCGACGGCGAAGCCGCGATTCGCGCCAGGGTAAATAATCAAGCGCGAACCGTTCGCTATGTTGCGCGGACGCGCGAAAGATTTAGGATGTTTGGACGCGGCGCGGCCGCGTCGGCCGTCTCGGAAATAGAGACGGTCAAGAAGCAGTCGACGACAAACGAGCCGACGACCCGGGCGGGCCGGGGATCAAAGCGACGCCAAAAAACAACGACGCCAAGCGCCGGGACTGGGGAGAGTGCCAGAGAATAAGAGAGAGAGAGAGAAAGAGTCGACGGCTTAATAACCGGAAAAAAGACCGCCACCCTTCCAGCCCCTCCGTATAAACTTCGACAAATTCCGAGATTAATCCCGTTTCCCTGGGCGTCCCCGACTCGGCGCTGGCGTCGACAAAAGAGAGCGACACCTCGGCGGCGAGAGTAGTTTTTTAGCATCCCATTCGGGCCGGGCCGATACGCCGGGGAACACCGAAACCTACTTTAGATCCCGAGATCCGAGGGGCTTACAACCCCCGGGCTGCCGGGAGAAAGAGAGGGGCAAATTAGATTTCTCTCCCCGGGGGAGCAAACGATGTCGCTGGGCTTTGCCCCGGGCCCTAAGGGTCGGGTTTCCGCGGCGCGGATCGGCCGGTCGATAAGACGCGTCTCCACCGGGCGCATTACAAGTGTCGAGCCATCGATCGAGCGAGGAGCGTAGTAAGCCGGCGAGAGGTTGATCAGAGGCGGAGGAGGGCGAGGGTTGGGGGGGGAAGACAAGGGGGCGCGTTAACGCCGTGACGACAAGGGGGCCGAGACGCCGGGAAGCCATGGAAGGGCGCGCCTCGACGCCGGCGTCGCGCCCGCGACCGCGGATCGCTCCGCAAATCGGCGACACGTGTTAAGCGCGGACGGTTGCTTCCGGTTAGGGGCGTTAAAAGAGCGCCCCGAGGCCCCCCGGCGGAAGGGGGGGGGGGGTCGGGGGGATGCGAGGGCGCGGCGAACTGGCAACCCCGCTGCTGATCGGCAGAATCGCTAATCCCATTTGACGCGGCAAAGCCGGCCGGCAATCCAATTTATTTATTGGCTTTTCGCTCGCTTTGCGCGCGGAACCAGCGGCTCGGCTTTCCCGCGAGCGTCGGCTCGCCCCCGGGGGGAGGGTTGGGGATGGAGGGGATCGCTCGCTCCCCTACCACGAGGACGGCGGATTTCGGGCGCGACGGCGCCCTGGACGCTGTGCCTCGCGAGTTTCCGCGAGAACGATCGTTGGATGCGATTAAGGTGAAACTGCGGTTCGGTTTCGGGGATAGGTATTCCTTCCCTACGGAGGGGAGCTTGGAAAAGGGAGGTTAGGCGAAGCCGGGTCGGGGCGCATTAAAGAGATCTCTCGGTCGCTTTGGTGCGGCTCGCGCGCGGGTGAAGAGGCTCCGAGGGCTCCCGGAGAGGGAGCATTTGATTCGGCGAACACCGCGAGACTAAGCCGGCCGAATAGACCGGGCAAATGGGGCGCGCGGGGCGAGGCGAGCGGCGGGGAGAGCCCGGCGGTTCGGCCGCGCCGCAAAGCCGCAGACTGGCGGTTTGCGGGCGCGACCACCGGATGGCCAGCCGCGGCCGCAGCTTCTGAGCGACTAAGCCTCGGGCTCCCCCCACCACGCCGCCGCCGCCCGAGAAGGGCCCGCTCGGCGGCCAAGGGGCGTGCGCCGCCACCCTCGCGAGCGAGCGACCCGAGGTCGCGCCCGGACCTCGCAGTCGCGCCCGAGAGGCGGCGCGCGGAGCGTCGCTCCGAGAAGATGCGGACGAGCGACCTCGGGAACCCTACCGCGGGACCGTGCACCCTCCCCGGAACCTGTCCGTCTTATCGATCATTACGATTATTCGCCGGGCACGCCGACGACTCCGCTCCGGTCGTCCGTATACCCGTCGTCGAGTTGCGGGGCACGACCGCCATTTGCATAAGCAATGCATTTTGATTCGTGGCTCCACATTGTACGGCACCGGAATGACATAAATAATGCATGGCATAATGGCCGCGACGAGGCGCGGAGTCGGCGTCCGTGCCCCGCCCCCACCCCCGGCCCCTGGCCCGACGAATTTTCGCATCGACGCGTCTTACCGATTTTCCTCGTCGGCGAGCGAGAGGGAGGCATGCGCCCGGGCTAGCGCGCGAGAGAGAGATGGCGCGGTCCGCCCGAAATACCCGATTCGCGCGCCGTTAATGGTGTCGTTAATATTGATTCAGCGCCACTCGAATTCGTCGACGTGGCGAATTATCGCCCCCCCCCCCCCCCGCGCGCCGTAATTTCGGGCCCGAGGCCGCGTTAACGTCCGCCGAATGGCCGGGGGCTCGGATGTCGCGAGCTCCCCCTTTTTTCGACAGTTGCGTGTCGTAAAGCATCCTTTTATCGCCGCAAGGGTAGTCTCCAGGGGGGTAATGATAAATCAGTCAATTATCGTTAGAAGGGGGGAGTCGTAAATTCCTTCGGTCGCGACCGCCCCGTTTAACGACGCCGGTCCCGCGACGACGCCCGCCCCCTTCGGCATCGTGCAACCCTCCGCGCTCGAGATCCTCCGTCGATAAAGTCGCGCCGCGGTTTAACCGACCGGCCAATTAAGGCGATAGCATCGAGGCAACCCAACTGGTCGCGGCACGCATCGCGCACGCGCCGTTGCGCCGACATCCAGCCGTTCGGGCCCGGCTCCCCCGACCAACTTCGACCCCCCCCCAATTTTCCCCAATTGTACCCCACGGGTCGCGACGATCGCGCCGATTGCTGGCCGTGGAGCGATGCGGCCCCATTAATGGGGTTCCCTCCTCGCCCCATGGACGGATCGTTCCAGGGGGAGCCCCTCGTCGCAACGGTACAAATAAATGCATTCTTCGTACCCCGCTACCCCCCAGCTCGGCGCTTTCAACGACGACAATGGAGCGCCTCTGCTGGGGCATTGTATGCACGGGCACCCTTGCACCGTGTTGCACCACCGAAGAGCAAAACCGGGGACCGAGTCATCCCCCGGGGATTAACGTCCCCCAGGAAATCGGCCGAAAATCGAAGGGGGGTAACCGGCAAGGGCGATCATCCTTATTTTCAATCGGATCGTCCTCCCGTAAAATCGCATCGCGGTGGAATTACGCACGGTAACTCTCATAGGATTTTCCGTGACTCGGTTTTAAACTGCTCAACGTGAGAATGGAGACGTCGCGTATGGTTACCTTGTTCGTTCGAATATTAAACAATTTATTTTTGTTCGACAGGATGCACATAAAAAAAAAAAGGAAAGAAAAAGACCGGGACGATATTACGGGGTAGGTGTTCTGTGGACGAGAGGGTGGGCCACCCGTTATTCGGCGGTCTGCCGAAATTAGAGCGGAGCCGGCAGGGAAACAATAACGAGGGCGGAAGGCCGACCGGTGACACTCATTTCTCACCGGCTGACAACCCAGGGCGGTTTTCGCCCTTCCCGTAGCAACATTCGCCCCGACACGCTAACCTCCGAGCTCTAATAAAAAGGGGTAACCCGAGGGGGAGGGTGCGAGTCAAAGGGCCGCCGAGGGAGGGGCAAAAACCGGCGAGGGGTGCGAAAGCAAAAAGAGAGACCACACGGGGACGGTGCGAAGCGCCGGGGGAGGTTCAAAAGAGGCGCAAAAAATCCCGAAGGGTGGGTCAGGGCGACTCCGATTGAGAGGAACTGATTAAATCGGGACCTAACCCCCCCGGATCTCATTTTTTTCATTGGACGAATTCCACGGCAAGAGTCGGCACTTTTTATCGCCCTTAAGGGCCGACACGAGTACGACCAAGGGCAGTGGAACAACGAAGGGGTGGCTGATTTTCGAGCAATCGAGAGTAGATTCCCGCCCTCGAAACGCACTCCCCTCGATCATCCGGTCCATCTGGACGTGCACTCGTAATATGAAATCCACGGACACGCGTGTACGGGTGCATCCTACAGCCGTGACCACTTCATATATCGACCGGTCGCTTGGCAGTTCGTGCTCGTCCCGACAAGGATCGAAACGCCCACGTGGCCGAGGGGGTTTAAAGTAAACGTTCCCGATAACGACCACGAAAGCTCCCGTCCAAATAAGAGTCATTTACCCCCGCCTCCACCCTCGCCCCCCCGCGTGGGAGGGTGCCAGATGGAGAC